GAAAATCATTAATGATTTTATTAAGAAATTAATGTTAAAAGTTTAATTTTTTTAAGCAAACTATATTCTTAATTTTCATAGAACAGTGTTTTAAGGACTCTAATTTAATGAGTGGCAGGATCAGGACCTGGAGACCCATAACATGCGCGTCCTGCGAGCCAAAATTTATGCAAATTCCGATGCCTTGGAGGCGGGGCTGGGGTGTCAGCTTCTTGCGGTTCGTTCGAGGACATCAGCCGCCCTTAACCCAGCCCCCCGCCGCATATCCTGTGAAGTGCAAAAGGAAACGCACAGTTGAATAATGTAAGTTATGTTAATGTGTGAGTGTCGGTGGCGGTAGCGGTGGAGATGGAGGTGGGGAGGCATCGCGTATACGCACAGGTGTACATTACACAGTTGCTGCATTTGCTTATGGCCTTTAAGGAAGGGGGATAGAGGAGTGGCTTAGAGGGGAGAGTCTCACCAGTTACCAACTAATCCACCTTCGTCCTTTTTTTTTTTCTTTTGCGTGAAAATGGAAAAGTGCAAGTGGAAAGTGTTTCTCATAACCGAAAGCGAGAGCAAAATTAAATATTCAATTTCCTTTGCCTTTGCCGTTTTTGAGCATATCCTGGCAGGATACAGCAGGACTCAGCTTTTGCATTTCCGTTTATGCTCTTTTTAATTTTCTGATACTCCCCTGCATTAATAATAAATCACGAATTTTTAATATTAATAGTTAAATAAGATTTAATAAAATGGTTTTAAAAGGTGGCTTTGTTTAGTTTCCAGTAGGTTGTAGGTAATATATTAGTTTTTCAGATTTTGTATTAGAGAATTATTCTACTCAAAGCTCTATCGAGCAATTAATAGCCGAGCAATGGCTAGTTCCCTACTATAATAAGCCCACTAGGCGTATACTTAATATTAGATGTTTGAGGAATATTACGTATACGCATGATTTTTTTTGAATGCCAAATAAAATTTATTTATTAAATGAAGTAAAACTAATACTTAAGTAATTAAAAGCCATTTAAGTTTGGTTAGCCATTTATTTATTAAATATTATCTATTAATTATCTATTTAATTATTTTAATTAGTTTTCAATTCTAAAAACACTTCAAAATGGATATATATTTTAAATGGAGGGAGTTGGGTAAACAGGAAACGTAGTGACACCTGACAAGTTGATGGACGACAGATATCGTGGTAACCCCCTTCATACCAAAACTTTCTTTTTCCTTTCACTTCTCAGGCATTTTCCACTTTCTATGCAAGTATGTATGTATATAAGTACAAAATATATAGTATATAAGGATTGTACATATGTATGTGCTTTGCCTCCTGTGGGAAACAGGTTGAGGGATAAGTTATGGGCAGTACGAGTGGCGGGGCTTTTGGGGGGGCTTTGGGGGTAAGGCACCGCTGTCAAAATGTCGTCATTGTTCATTCATGAAATGTGCTCCTTTTTACATTTTGCCCAACTGTAGCAGCAGCAGTAGAAGGAGAAAAAATAAAAGCAAAAAGCACTGAAAAAAAAATTAAATATTTAAAATCTTTTTTATTAAAAACTGAAAGCCTTTGTTAAAAAATTCTTCAATATATATATTTCTTCACTCAAACTTTTAAAATATAAACTACTCTTTTTTAATTCCATTTCTCTCAGTGCACAAACAGCAGCAACAACCGCAATGGCCGCAAAATGAAATGGAGAAAAAAAAACGTGTAAGAAAAAGGGAATTCCAAATGGAAGTGTGAGGAAAAGAGAGAAAGCAAAAAAAAAATTGAGAAAGGAGTGCTGTGTGTGTGCGTGCTTTTGGGCGTGTGTATGTGTGTGTGTGTGTGTGTGTGCGAGGACACACCGAGGACGTACGTGCGACTGTTTTGTTGTTGTGGCTCCTGCTGCCGTTGTCGTTGCCGCTGCCGCTGCCACTACCGCTGCCATTGCTGCTGTGTTGCATGCCACACATACAAGCGCACACACTCGCTGACATCATCCGCAGCCGTTTGTGCCACTCAATGTTGCACTGAAATAAAAAATTAAATATTTTTAATAAAAAAATAATATTTACAAACATTATTAAGATGTTATAAAAATATGTTATGTTATTAAAAAGAATAGAAAATGAAGGTCATTAAATTTTAAACAATTTGATTCTTTAATATATTTAAAAAAAATATATTTTGAAGAAAATATCGATAATTTATCAATATTTTAACGAATAATTATAAATAAATGTCTAAATATATGTACATATCTATGTATTCCCCAATATTAAATAATGCAAAATAATGCTAAAACTTAAATAAAAGCTAAAATTTAAAAGCGGTTGTACTGTTAAGGTTTTTATCGATTATTCAATATATTTTGTTATCTAAAATTTTAAAAAAATTGAAAGTTTAACTTAAAAGAGTCAAATCGTAATTATTTAATTAAATCACTCATGCAGACTATGCCTATTTTTAAAAATCAGCTTTCTTAACTACAATACTGAATAATGGTGTTATCGAAAACATCGATTAGTAATTTTTGTATGACATTTTTACCAACTAAAATATCGATAATTCATCTTCATCTACAAAAGTAAAAGAAAAGCATCATTATCTTACATACATTGGTATAAAATAATTACTGGAAATAAAAAAAGGATCTTGTTTAAATATCAATAATTTTTTATAAGCCCACTATGTTTTAATAAAGGAATAAATAAGTTCAGAACTATTATAAACTTTTTTCCACAAAGTGTATGTTTATACTCCTGTGGCAGGACTCTGTGAAAGGCAAAGGACTGACAAAAGAGGCGTGGCAGCTGGAGAGTGGGAGCAGCATTGGCGATGGCGATGGCGATGGCGATGGGACAACACTGTATGGCTAATAGTATCATGTGGGCGGGACCCTGTGTTGCTTTGTTGTTGGCGTAAATATTGTCATTTGTTGCGACATTGAAGTTATTGTTTGTCTGTTTGACGCTGTTCGAATTCCCTCGACTGCGTTCCATTGGAATCCTTAAAGGACCTTTGAATGTTTGCCCGCAATTAGCTAGATCAACTGGGTGGGGTATCTTCCATATATATCCACATACATACATATATACTGCATATTTGTATTACATAGTTATATAGAGGTGCTAAGGTCTAAGGTTATGGTGGGGCGGGAAAAAATACCGATCGCCGGCACCTGGGGAGCCATTACACCACTTCCGGCTAATTGGAGGCGTCCAAATGCCACGGAAATGTTTCACACAAAGAAAACAATTAAGCGCTTACGACGATTAGGCCATCTACCTACCTGGACAGGTGCCTCCTGGCCACCTAACTGGTCAACTACCAAGCTACCTATCTAGCCACAATTATTAGCCAATAAATATTGTACCCAGTTGTATTTCTTTGCATAGGAATGTTGATCTTAAAGGGCACTATGTTTCAAAAGGCATTATTTTTTATCTAACCATAATTGTAATGTGGCCTTCGATTATTTATCGAAGTATTATTTATCGAAAATACATCACTTTTCTATCGAAAATGTGCAAGGGCTTTACTCATTCTTTGTAGTTGATTATTTGTAGTTAATAGAATATAAAACAACGAGTTTTGTATCTAATTGGTATTATATTCCATAATATTTGTTTATAAGGTTATGAATTTCCATAAAAAAGGCTTTGAAAGATTAGGAACTTAAAGGTTCTTACTTAAACTTTGAGGTTAATTATTTATGTTATATTATGTAAATAAATATATTAATATTGATTATCTATTGTCATTTTTTCTTGGATTTTTTATCTATTCTAATCAAAAATCTATTACGTTTCTTAAACTTTATTTTTTAATCGATTTTCTATTAAAAATGCATAAAATAAATAAATCGAATAACAATCTAATCTAGTAATCCTTTTTTATATCTAATTAGTATCTTATTCCATAATATTTATATTTAATATGGTGGATTTTCATAAAAAAAGGTTCAAAATAGTACAAAACTGCTTTTGAAGCAATATATTTCATTTGATATATTACTATAACATTATTAATTAAAATATTCAAAGAATAAGTATACAAGAGTAATGAAATTTTGGTCTGTTAATATTTTATATTGAAATCTTACTCACTAACACTAAAAAATGTAAGGGTATATGTATTTATAAATATTAAATACATGTTTTTAGACAGGATTTAAGTAATTTATCTAAAAAAAGATAGAATAAAACATATATTGAATATGTTCTATTATAATTTTAAGAAATTAAATGTGTTTTTCTACAAAAAACTGTATAGTATCTTGAATCAACAATTTTCCTACCAAAAAGTTATATTTTAATGAATTTTTTAAAACTAAAAGCCTTTTCCATAAAAGTATAATTGTAAAGGATATTTTCTTGAATAAGAAACATTTTGTTTGGCGAAAAAAGCCGTTAGAGAAAGTACACATTTGAGCAGGAAGTTTTTATTTTAGTTGGCGAGATTTTCCATCTCATAAAGAGTAAACATTTTTGAAAGACTTGGACCGAAAGTAGGTCTCAGACTTAATTCATTAGCCGGAGAGCTGGTGAGTTTTCTTTTTCTATTACCAGGCACTTGCTTTTTTTTTTGCCTTTTCTCACTGAGTTTTGAGTGCAGGTGCACTTTCTTTTTTTGACTTTGCGTGAGTTTTGTGCTTTTGGTTTTTTGTGTTTGCTCTGTTTGCGTGTGTGTCCCTTTTAGCAGCCTGCTTTTGCAAAAAACAAAAAACAAAGACAAAAGCAGAGGTAGAAGCAGCGACTGAGGCAGAGCAGCCGGAGCCAGAGCCTGTCCCAATGACCGAGTGGGGCTCTCCTTCGGTATTGTAGCTTTTGTTGTTGCTGTTGGTATTGCTATTGCTGGTGCCCACTAGTGTTGTTGTCGTTGTCCCTGTAACGGGAAACTGGCACAGCCCGAAGGCAGACGAAGCGCCAACGAAGCTCCAACGAAGCGGGGCCGAAGCTTTGCCGAAGCCGCTGCCGAAGCGAACTGAACGAAAGTCGCACTCTGCGGACGCACACGCGATGCGGCAGCTGACAGTTTCAGTAAACCACGGAGACGAACGGATTACGGGTAACGAAACAGCCGTAGTACCAGTACCCCAGTACCCAGTACCAGTAACATCCTAGTAGCAGCCTCAGAGCCAAAGCAAATATAAAAAATTGAAATAAAAACAGGACATTATAAACTTGCCAAAAAAAAACCATCAAATATCAGAAAGGATATATAAGGATATAGAACCCTAATATGAAAAAAATTAACCAAAAAAGCCGTTAAACGAACAGATGAAAAGAAAAACAGTTAACCAGAGAGAGCGAAGAGAGAGAGAGAGACGAGGAGCGGTTAAACAAAAAAAGGAAAAAAAAACCGAAAAGTTTACATGCCTTTTGCCATACATGTGTTTCGGTATATATATATACCATATATATAATATAATATAACATAATATAATACTATATATATATATGTAATATATAACACAGTATCTTGATTAGTGCGCAGGCAAAAAAAAAAAGGAAACCGAAAGAACAAAGTTTTACATAAGTTCTCTCCTCTCTGTTTCCTTTCCGTTTTTTTTTTGCCATCGTTTTTTTTGTGATATTTTTTCGAGTGTGACCCAAAAAACAAAAACAACACAAATAAAATACCAAACTACCTAAAGTGCGTGTTCACGTGTGCTTTCAACAAGAAGATGAAGAAGAAGAAGCAGAAGAAGATGCCGAAGAAGGAGCAAAAGTTGCAGAAGAACGAGTGCCAAAAATATTAACATCCAAAAAAAAAGAAAAAAATAATTCTTATTTCTTTCTACATTTTTTTTTCTGTGTGTAAAAGCGCGTGTTCGCCGTGGCGTATACTTGATGTGGCCGCAGCAGCAACGATTGCGTATACGCCTAGTGGCCCTCTCTTTATTAATCCATCTGTGTGTGTGTGTGTGTGTCATACATATACATATGTATAAGCGATAAATATGTGTGTATGTGAGTGTGCGTCACACACAACGTGTTACGCAGAGTAACACACACACACACACAGACAGTCATACATGCAAAAGGAAGACCCCCCCTGAATCTCCCTGGAAATCTCAAATTTTTAACAAAAAAAAAATAATGTTGGTTTGTTGTTTTGAATCAGGAAGAAGAAGAAGAAGAAATATTAAGAAATGCCCAAAAAAGTAGGCAATGGAAAATTGTTACAACAATTACAGAGAGAGAAAAAAAGAAAAGGGGGTCGCCGCCACACAGACACACACACACACACACACACATGTACATGGCGGCGGGACCTAGGAAGTCAGGAGCTGGAGAAGGACAAGGAGCATGGGAGCCAAGGAGCAGGAGTTGCCGCGGACTTTCGATTTTTCGTGACTCGACTTGCCTCGACTCGACTCGAATCGGTTTCTTGAATGTGTGTTCTCGAGTGTCCTTTTTTGTAGTTGCCAGAGCTACTTTATTGTTGTCACTATTGCTATTGTTGTTGTTCTTGTTGTTGCTGTTAGTGATGGCAGTTTGGCCCCCTTTCGTCCTCCTTTTCTGTTTTTTTGTTGTTTTTTTTTTTGGGGGAAACTCTGCGGCACACTCGCCTGCTGTTTAGGTTATGTGTATCTGGCATGTCCTTTTTCCCTGCCTTTCTTTTTTTTTTCTTGTGTTTTCTTTTTTTTTTTTTTTTTTTTTGTGGAGCGCGCATATGCGACGTCTGCGCTAGCACGAAAAACCATCCAAAACCAAAACCAAAACCAGAACCAAACGAAACGAGTCTCAACCCAACACAATTCGACTTAACTCGACTCGACTCGAAAATCAGGCAAGGGCCAGGACAAAGGACGAAGGACGAAATACGAGGGGCGCTTCAGTCACTCAGTCAGTCAGTCAGTCAGTCAGTCAGTCAGTCTGTTGGGCGGCCAACTCTGGCGCCTTGCTAACTGGCTAAGCCGTGTCCTCGCCTCGTCCTCGTGCTCTGCACGTTCTCTCGTCCTTCGACCTCCGTTCTCCCCTTCTCACCCATCCGTTGGCCTGTCCTTTGTGTCCTCCCGTCCTGCTTTGTCCTTTTTCGTTTCGGATTTCAACTTTCGACTCGCGTTTTATTTCGTGCTGTGCGCAAAAGGAGCCGAGAACCCGAGGACTCGCGGCCAAAAACGGACGAGGATGAGGATGAGGACGAGGCCACGAGGAGCAAAACCCCAAATGCTCCACAAAACAGAGAACGAGAGAGAAACGCGCCAGAGCAACAGAGAAGGCACTACAAAGAGAGGGCGAGGGAGAGAGGCGAGCCAAAAAAGAGAGACGAACGGTAAAAAGGGACAAGGGTGCCTCCAATTGCCTTGGTTTCGCTCGCAAGAAAAGCACAAAAAAAAAAGAAATCCAAACAAAAAAATCGGGGGAAAAAATGGAATAAAAAAAATTATAAAGAAACCGAAATTGTGCAACGATTTCGGAAGTTTTTGAAGTTGTTGGACTGTCTGCCCCAAAAATTAAAACACCCTATAGGTATAGCTGTACGATCCATAAAACAAAACCAGTCCTGGCATGCTTTTCAAGCTGCATGCCACCTATTTAATGGAAATTATTGTCACGAAATCCCTAGAGCATAGTTGTACTGTATATTTATTTATTTGGCAGGATAATTACTAATTATTTTGATTCTGGAAATTCCAGATCTTGTAGTAGACCTTAGCAAAGTTATAGGGTTGCTACCTCTCATTTAAATAGAGTTGTTTTTTTTAGGAAAATGAAGCCTACTTTTGTGGTTAGGTCCTTAGGTTAGGGTTTTTTCATATTATTTTGTAGGTTTTTAAATCTTGAGCCATTTGTTTTCTTTTGAACTAAAAACTATATAAGAAAATAGTTATCTTTGTCCCTAAAAGTATATTTTGGTAAAAGATCTTATTCTATATATGCGGTTCTCATAGGTCTTATAGCTCTTATAGTTCTTATAGTTTTTACAGTGCTTTTAGATCTTAAAGTTTTTATAGTTCCTATAGTTCTTATAGTTCTTATAGTTCTTATAGTTCTTATAGTTCTTATAGTTCTTATAGTTCTTATAGTTTTTACAGTGCTTTTAGATCTTATAGTTCTTATAAATAGTTCTTATATATGTAGATACTTTTATAAATAGATAGATATAGATTTTATATAGATAATTTTTTAAGAAAATATTTTTAGGAACGCATTTCTTTGAATCCCTTAATAGTTTTGTTTGTTAATATATGGAACTAATTTTTGTTTAGGCAATTTAGCAGAAATAGAAAATATATATGTATATATTTTGTACATTTTTTTAAATCATAGATTTTTGATAAATTGTGAATCTTTCGGGGAATAAAAATTGCTATTTAAAAAAATTCTTCATATATTTTCCAAGTCAAGTTTGATATATTAAAGATTTTAGGTATTTAGGTAAAAAAAACTGAATTGAGATTAGAATTGATTTTTTAAAATATTAAATAAATGGGATTTCTATATTTAACTCTTATTTTATAAAACCTTATATAAAGCAATTTCCATAAATTTATGAAAAAGTATGAAAGAATCAGCAGTAGCTCCTTAGAAACCTTTACCATTTGAAGAAAAATGTATATTTTTTTCTCTAATTATATTAAAGAGCGATTAAAAAAGAAAGTTTTAAAATAATTATAGATCCCTAGCCCAGTTAGACTTTTATATTTCGGTTTAATTCGGTTTAAGTTCTAAAAACAACTGGTGAGGGCCGAAATGAAAACGAAAGGACACGCAATCGCGGCTAAAAGGAACCCGAAGCCACGGCAGGAGAAAGCAAAATTTTTCCTTTCTATTTTTTTTTTTAGCCAAAAAAATCTATGAACTTTCAACGCACTTACGTGTGTGTGTATGTGTGTGTGTGTGCGTGTGTTTGAGGTTAGTGCTTGTCCTGCGACTCTTGGGCGCTAAAATAGAGGAAAAGTAAAAAAAAAAAAGGAAACTTTGTCGCTCGGCCAAGGCCCAGTGCGACCGAGTTAAGCATTTTTATTTACCCACCTCGGATCGGAGGAGCCACTCCAATATATGGTAAAGGACTTGAAAGAACAGAAATGCTACAAAAATATATATATATATATATATATAGAAAAGAAAAATAAACAGGCCTGTAGGCTGGTGCGTGTTCAATTGGTTTTCCTTTTTATTATTTGTTTGTTTGCCGTTTTCGGTGTAAAAAATTTACATAACCCAAATTGCCGCATAAATAAATTATTAAATACGTGACGTGCAAATGGTCAAAAATCCAACGAATCCAACGAATCCATAGCCGTTTATGGCATGTGCAAGAGGATTCCAGTGGAATCGAGTCTATTGTCCGATTCCCCAGGGCTTGCAATCAGGACGCAATCCAATAAGGAGATTGTGTCCTCGAGACTGCCTGCCCGCCATATGCCATATGTGCCTAGGTCCTAGTGGGTCCTAGTGGTACTCCTCCTGCCAGCCACTGGTCAAGTGGGCTGGCAGTGTGGAGATCTTCTCTAGAAATTCAATTAGGGACGAGGCCAAGGCTACTTGAGTGCTCAGCCAGATCAGCCAGAGGGCCAAAATCGAATATATATTTTCGGCCAAATCACTAAATTATATTCTTGCTTTTTTTTTTTCATTAGGAATTCATAAGTGATTTGTGGCAGGAATGTGTTTGGAATACCATCCTGTGGCAGGTAAATTCAATTTGCCACTCAATTGCTGCACTTGTCCTTATGAATCATGTAAATCAAATCAATTTATTAAAATAAATTTGGTTTTCGAGTAGATTTGGTTTGTGGAAGGGTTTTAATATTTAAAAAAATGGAATTTAAGGCAAAAAAGGACGAATATTACAAGATAACTTCTTCAAATTACTTTGAAAATAACAAAAATTTTGGTTTTTTTTGGAAAACCATCTGTTTTTCTCATGTTTGGACTCTTTTCAATGCTATTATGGAGGACGGCTGTTCACGTAGGTGACGAACTGCATGCCTTACTAAGAGCTTGGCCACACTAAGCCGATAGAATGAATATAAGTGAAATATAATATATATACATATATAGAGAAAAAGAATTATGAGTGAATGAGTTACACACCAATCTATCTTCTAATAGTTTCTTTTTTTTTTGTTAAAGATAGAATTAAATAAAAGGACATTATACTATACATATATACTACTTATATAGTTTCATTCTTTTTAATTTACTTTAAAACTATTGTCTTCCTTATTTAATTCATTTATTTTCTTGATAAAAGGCTCAATTTAAATCAAAACTAATACTGAAACAAGCCTTATTATTCAATATGCTTATTATTCAATATGTTATATATTAAAGACATTTTCTTTAAATAGCTTCAGTTCAGAAACATTTTTTGATAAACTTTTAATGCCAAACTATTCCTAAGAGTATTTTTTACATAAGAAATAAAATTCAGTTAAATCTTCCTATTTATCGAGGAGTTATAGACATTAAAATATATTCTTATTAGACCCACTGTCTAGTATCATTGACTTTTTTTTCGAAGCTCCCAAAAGTATGCAACAAAATATTTTCTTAAGAATCTATTCAAAAATCCTTCCTCACTGGTATTTATATTAGTTTTTTTACTTTTAATATAAATAATATTAAAATAACTTTTAATTATCATCTTGTAATTATTTATTTGTAACTTAAAGGCAATATATTTTGTAACCTAATTTAGTATTAAATTTAGTATATTAGTCAGTATATTGTATGTATTTGTCTCATCAATAGATATTTGTTCTATTTATTATTTATTTTATTTAATTGGCATGAATATTTTAGCCATGTTTCGAGCAAACCACAAATAATGGCCACAACTATTTGCACATTGTCCTTATTGCAAGTCCTTTGGATCGATTGCCTGCCTGCCGTCCAAATGCGGGTCAGCATGATTTGTGATTATAACTCTTGTTCTATATTTAAGGCAGTGGCGTAGGCCGGCCAGAACAGAACAGGACAGGACAACCCAAGACAAGACAAGACAAGACAGAACAGGACAAGACAGGATAGGATGGGACGGGACGGGACAGAACTGGATTCATAAGTTATGAACGCAGTCGGAATTGGCCAGTCAGAGCGGTGCCAAGTGGTGTGACCCCCTTCGCCGCTTGGCGATTTGGCGAATTTTGTGCAATTTGTGGCGCAAAAGAGGCGAAATAGCCAGCCAAAAGGAAGGCATCGAATTGATGACCTAAAAATAGAATAAGTCACAATGGCAAACGAAGAAGGCATGCGGCGAGAGCGAATAATAGCGGCGAAATGGCGAATAGGGATAACGAGTGCGAGTGCGAGTAGAAGAGTGTGTCTGTGTGTGTGTGTGTGTGTTGGCAGCGAGTGTAGTTAGGGGAGGCATGTGGCACAACAAAACTTGTGTTGACAACCAAATGGGTGGTGTATTATACACACACACACATACATACATATTTTTAAATTGCTTTTCATCTACTTCTTCTTCTTCTTCTTGTGCTCCTTTATTTTTGCGGCGAAATGGCGGCGAAGTCGACCAACAGCTGCAACCAAAAACTTCGCTTCGCAAAATGGAGTTTCTTGTGAAACGAGCCAGAGAGTGAGAGCCCAAATAACGGTTCTGCTCTCCAAATCCAGGCTGGACTAACAGTTATAATATTTTTTTTGTCCTTTTTTTGAGGGGGAAAGCTTATTCTGGCTGTGCGTTTCACGTGCGCGAACGTTGCATAAACAAAAACAAAAAAAAACAGTGTATTACAAATTAGTTATGCCTTTTTTTTCGAGTGTATTAAAGTGCTCTATGTGAACAATAGAATAAATATTTGGTTTGGAGAGTGAAAAATAAAATACACTGTAATGTTAACGGAAAATGGCTTGCTTTTCCCTTTAGGCGACGCTGGCGAAATTGAAACTAAAACAGCAACAGGAAACCACAAATAATAATAATAATATTAGCTATATAATACGGAAACCCCAATTATAATAATAGCAACAGTTAAAGCGAAAGGCAAAACCAATCCCCAATATCCCCCCATAATAATAACAATAATAATAGAAGAATAAATAATAAAAAAAAACACAAAACCGAAAAACCAAACACCAATAACAGCTCTGGGAACAAAACGCAACGTTTGATGAAAATTTTTGGCAACACGTCGCGTCGTCTTGGTTGTTGTTAAAAATAAAAAATAAACACACACTAAAAATATATAGAAATACACAAACAACAGCATAATAATAAAAATTAAAAAATAAAAACAAACAAACAAAAAAAAAAAAAACAAAACAAATTCACCTTTTACTTGTTCTACTGCTTCAACTTTATTCGTCTTCGTCTCCGTAAAAAAAAAATATTTAAAAATTTAAAAATATATATATATCTTCATATATATGCATATGTGTGTGAGTGCGTCGCGTGTGCGTTGGTGCATGTATGTGTGAGCTACAACAACAACAACAACAGCAGCAGAAGCAACATCCAACACAACAATAGTTAACAGCGCAACATCAGCAACAACTACAACTGCAGCAACAGCAACAACAATAAATTAAACAAAAACACCACAACAATAATAAAGAAAAAAAACCAACAACAACAACCAGCCACAATAATAGCAACAGCAACAAAAACAACAAGAATTACAGCGGCTAGAGAGAGCAGCCAAGCACAACATCGATTGACATCGATTACAGGTGAGCTCTTTGTTCGATAACTCGCCCCTCTTTTTCCAATCGAAATAATCGGTTCAAGTGATTTCATTCATTATTCGGTTTTATTTATATAATTAAGGGGTATATGCTTATTATTTGTTAATCATGGGGCTTAATTTAGGTTTATAATTAATTAACTGATGTATGTTTTTGAAAAAAATGTATTTAATTCTGAGAATACATACATTTTCGAGTTACATTTTTGAAATATTATAGCTTTCTAAAAGTTTGGGTTTTAAGGGGTTACTATGCTATGGGTTTAATGGCTACTATACTATACTTACTATCATTGGTTATTAGTTAGAAATTAATTAGTTATCATTAGTTATAGAAAACATCTTTTAAAGCTTCAATATTTTTATTTGTTTGAGGTTTTACACTTTTCCTATTTATAAATGCAATTTTTATTAACATATACCAACTTTTGATAGTTTTATTGTTGCTTAGTTAGTATATTAGTTAGTATAGTATAGTATAGTAGTATAGTATAAAGTATAGGTGTTAGTATACTTTTTTAAAGGTCCTTAAAAACTTGCTTTTCTATCATGAGCCATTAAGTCTGCTTATAGTTATTATAAGCTATTACAAGTACAATTTATGAAGGGATTTTTAAGGTTAATATATACATTTTTTAATAACTTGAATATTTATTAAAATTGAAAAACAAAATAAGTAAAAACACTTGCAATGCATTTGTGTAATAAAATCTTCAATAAAATCGATATAAACCTTAATTTTCTTAAAGAAAGCATAGTTTTAAAATTTTCTAGTAATTATAAGTTTTAAATTTAAATATTTTTCCACACAAAGTTCTAATATTTTTAAGGTTTTACTTTATTTTTCCTGAAAAATCATCAGGAAGCATTCTACTCCCTGCAGTAAAAAAAAACATAGCATACTTATTAGGGCAATTCTGGTTTTAAGCCATTTAATTGCACTTTTACAAACAAATTCCTTCTTTGAATAGACTTTTTAGTTATTTTAACATCTTTTGTATAAAAACTGAATACATTTTATATATATATTTAGCTTTTTTTGTATATTATTTTTGGCTGGTAATTAGAAACTTGGGCGAACAAAGGGAACACAAACGCAGCTTGATGAACTTGGCTTGATTATGTCATGGTTTGGTTGGCTGAAAATCCCAGTTAACCGGGCCTATCAATGGGGTATCTCTGTAGGTCCCTCGGCCCAACCAACCCGTCCCTCGACCGTGGACCGTCACCACGCCTCTTTGGCCGCCTCCTCGTTGCTCTCTCTCTCGTTGTCGGCTGGCTTTTCCTTTTGCTTTCCTCGTTGCTCGCTTTTGGGCTACAACCTTTTGCTGGCTTTTGGAGGGCAAACTTTCAGCTGCCAGGAAAATTCTGAGGAAAATGCCAAAAAGGAGCAGGGGCGACCAGGGGGGGGGGCGCTAGTGTTTAGCGGGCGGATGGGGGGCTGTGTGTGTGTGTGTAGAGGGTGAAATTCCTTCACACACAAACACGCACACATCTGCGAGAGCGGGTTTCGTTAAGAGAAGGAAACCCGAAACTGTGTTGTTGTAGTCCAAGCCAGGGAGAAAGTGAGCGGGAGAGAGCGGCAGATAGAGAGAGAGCCAGCGGAAAAGGAAGCCTAGGCGAGCGAAAAAAAGAGTTTGCTCTGGGCGCAGATGAGAGAGGACCTTTCACTCTCTCCGGCTTTCTCCCGCTCTCTCTCTCTCTTGCGTTGAGCATGCAAAATTCATTGACTAACAACATGCGAACTTCGTTCAGTTTTGTTGTTCTTTTTCCTCTTTTTTTTAGTTTATTTTAACTGTTTTTCCAATTTTAATTTTTAATAAAAATACAATATATTTTGAAAAATTAAAAATCTTCTTATAATTTTTTTAACTCAAAATATTTTGGTTTTTTGCTGGAATTTCCTTGATATTGGTGTCTGGTTCTTTTTTTTTTTGCATTTTTGAGAGCATGAGTCATCGGAAAAATTAATTCTATGCCTGTCATCAGGATAATAACCAAAAATATTCCTTTTTTTTTTTGCAAATGCCATGAATGAAACAAACACATACAAGCTTACATAAATATATGCTCATATTGCCGAGGACTTTTCTATGCTGTATTTTATGCGTGTGTGTGTGTGTGAAAATATCGAACTGACCTACTTTTATGCTCAATACACACACACACACGCCAAAAATTCCCACACACGAACAGAGGAGATTGCTGGCAAATGGAAAAAGAGTGCTTTGACCTTAGCGGAGGCTGCTTATATAAGACCCCGATTGTCCATTTGCCCGCTCGAAGAAAGCCATCGAAGAACCCGATAGTCTTAATCTTGGACTTTCTTTATAGATTTTTCTTGTAAATTTTGGATAAAGGATAGAGGACTTTATTTTATATTTTAATAATAGTTTAAACTTGAAAACTATTTGAAATTTATAAACAATTTTGGGGTTGTTCTACAGTATTTAGTTTATAATGTGTATACTTTTTTTTTTTAAATTAAATATGGTACATAGTTAGTATTTAGTATTAAGAATATTTAGTTTATTATGTAGTGAATTAATATCATATTTATATTATCTTTAGATATGAAATTCTAGCTTTTACGCTAAAATTCAAGATTAAAGATTGAATAAAACGGATCGCGACTTAGCTTAAGCTTAAGATTCTGAATTAGACTAGACTTATTGTACCATAATTCTAGATAGATAAGTCTTTTGCTTTTTGTTTAATACAATTTTAGACACCTAATATTATAATATAATTAAATTAATTATTAAAGTGCAATAATGATAATTTATTATTATTATCTTTAAATACTTCCTAACCTTAAAAGAAAAGTTCAATTATGGAACTATTTCTTAAACTATGGATACCAAACTAGGAATATTCTAAAATCTCACCGTAAAATAATCTTAAAAACATTAAAACAAAGCAATAATCTTAAATGAAAGACAGATAGAGCCATTTTCACACAAAAAGTATCATTTAATTGTTAAAAAAGGAAAATATTAGAAACTAAATTATAAAATATAGCCTTTATTTTACAATAAACTACAAAGCCTTAACATTTAACTAGGAAATTACCAATTCCATATTTTTTTGTAAACATATGAATTGAATAACTTTATTTACCAAAGCAATTGAATTTTTTTTAAATAGTTGTACGTATAGTATATATATATATATATATTGTTAACTTTTATTGATTGGACATTGCTTGTGTTTTGTGCATTTTACTTTTGATTGCATTTCATTTGATGGGAATCGTCGTCTGCGGTAATCCAATTAGCCGGCTGTTGAGGTTTCCATTTCGATTTGGCTCTCAGGGATCAATGTGCTAGCTTCAAAAAAGAAGAGCAACCAACACCTCATAGATTTATATGTTTAAATTTTATATTTAACATATATTTATATATAATAATTAATTTTCTTATTTTATTTGCAGTATTGTGCTAAGCGGCGGGCGCTAATCGAACATGGCGCCTCGGATATAGTTGTAGCTTTAATGTAGCAGGCGACATCCATGTGCCTCATGTAAGTATTTAAATATAACTCCAAAATTCAAAATCTGAACCAACAACCTTTCATTTAAATATGTAATTACATGTACATTCATTTTGATTCTCCATTTATTGAGTTAAGTCCATCACAATGGACAAATTATTTGGCGGTCGTCGTAATTGGATGAATTGCTCATTTCGAGTTGCATTTAAATGTCAATAACTGGGATTGTGTTTGCCAAACAATGCTTCCAGTAAATGTGAAATAATAGAATCACTTAGTTTAAATGATTATCATGAGAATTATTTTTAAATAAGTTATAAATTCAGTCGATATTAAGTTATTTGATATTTTGGCAAAAAGAAATGTATTTTTAAATAACAGAGTTGAAAGAATTATAATTTTTTGGTAGTAACTATGTTGTTACTAGTAATAAACAACTAGGTTAATGTAATTCTCAATTCAATTTAAGAGGAATACCTTAAACGATTTGTGGATTTCGCTATAAGGCACCTTCCGATGGTTATAACTCGGCCAATTCTCATCCGATTCTTGAGAGGAGTACCTTAAACGATTTGTGGATCGATTTCCAGTAAATCTGCATCAAAATCTGAGAAGAAAATATTTTTCAGATTTTCTTCCAAAATTTGTGGGGAGACCCCTGCCAAATCCTGGATTTCGCTTTATGGCACCTTCCGATGGCTATATCTTGTCCAATTCTCATCCGATTCTTGAGAGGAATACCTTAAACGATTTGTGGATCGATTTCCAGTAAATCTGCATCAAAATCTGAGAAGAAAATATTTTTCAGATTTTTTTCCAAAATTGGTGGGGAGACCCCTGCAAAATCCTGGATTTCGCTATATGGCACCTTCCGATGTCAATATCTCGGCCAATTCTCATCCGATTCTTGAGAGGAATACCTTAAACGATTTGTGGATCGATTTCCAGTAAATCTGCATCAAAATCTGAGAAGAAAATATTTTTCAGATTTTTTTCCAAAATTTGTGGGGAGACCCCTGCAAAATCCTGGATTTCGCTATATGGC